GTGTTTTCAGGCATGCTTGACAGCTGTGCGAAAACCTGTCTGACTTCTCTGGGAATCTGCAGGAGGGTAGTGAGTTCACCACTCTGGCTTCCATGGTGGTTAGTCTTTCTGTGTGAGAGGAGCTTCAGAATGTCCAGGGCATTGTGCAGCCCTTTTGTCCATGTCTGTGAATACCCTGAGCAGCAGGCATCATGATGTGCAAGGCAGTGCAGGCATAGGGTGTGTGTGTGTGTGTGTGTGTGTGTGTGTGTGTGTGTGTGTGTGTGTGTGTGTGTCCTGGAGAAACTCTTTCCTGTCTGTCCAGCTTCGCATCCTTATCCAGTCATCAGGTATTGAGCTGCTCCCTGATCCAGGAGGTTGGTGAATAACTCCTGCTTCTGGGACACCTGACTGCCTGGGGGAGACGATCATCAGGCAGGATCTAGGTCGGACAGGGATGGGGTGAGGGAGCTGGCATTCCGAATTCAGTGTTTGATAATGAGTTGTCATTTTGGAAGAATCATGTCACCTCTTTGGACCTGTGATTTTTTTTTTTTCCACTTACAAATGAAGGTTTTGGATTAAGTGATCTCGAGGGGGGTCTTCCCCAGGTACTTCTGAATATAGGATTTGTGAATTATTCATGCACCCATACTTAGTTTTATGTGATGAAACTAAGTATATGAACAGTACGCAGAGGAAAAACTAGGGACTCTTGGAAGGAAAGCTGTAACTGGAGTCTTAAGAAAGGCTTATTTGAGAGGAATAGCGACAGAAATTTTCCATTTGCTAGTTCATTCTAAATGGCCACAGTGGCCGGAGCGGGGACATATGGGATCCTGGTGGATACACGGTGAGGATTTAGCACTAGCCTGTCATGATGGACCCAACATTGTGACTGTTTTATGAAACATTTTTGGGTTTTAGTATGTAGTGATTGGTCATAGGTATCCCTCAGAAATTCTTGACATGGTTCTTGTGAGTGAGAATTGCTTTTCTGATTGGAAAAAAGACAACAGCCAAGTCTCAAGTGAAACCCTTAGCTTTTGCTCTTCCTTTATTCCTTTGCTCTGGGAGAGGAAATAGGATGAATCCACGCCGTGTGCGTATTGTGAGTGCTGAACCAGCAATTTAATGATGCTGATTAATTTGGGAACAATCAGATCTTGTTCCTTTCGCAAGTAGATAAATTGCTGGGAGGTGGTTAGAAGCAGCAATGATTTCAGAAACCTCAGGATAGTTTTAAACTCAAAGGGCCAGCAGGAGAAATCTACTCAAGGCAGTAAATATAATTGCATGGCTGAATATAATCACTTGTGATTCTTTAAGATTTACTTATTTTTCTTGGAAAGTCAGATATACAGAGAGAAGGAGATATATATAGAGAGATCTGTTAGCTGGTTCACCCCCCCAGTGGCCGTAGTGGCTGGAGCTGAGTTGATCCAAAGCCAGGGGCTTCTTCTGGGTCTCCCACAGGGGTGCATGGTCCCAGGCTTTGAGCCATTATCTACTGCTTTCTCAGGCCACAAACAGAGCTGGATGGAAAGTGGAGAAACTGGGATATGAACTGGTACCCATATGGTACATGCTGCAAGGTGAGGATTTAGCCACTAGGCTATAATGCCAGGCCCACATGTGGTTCTTAAATCTAGTTCTAATAAGGGTTTTGCTTTAAAAGACTGGGGGTGGGCATTGCCGTGAAGTAGGCTAATATTCTACTTGCAATGCCGGCATGTCCTATTAAGAGTGCCAGTTTGAGTCCCGGCTTCTCTACTTCTGGTCTGACTTCCTGGTAATGCGTCCTGAGAAGGAGCTGATGATGGTCCATCCTGGGCTCTGCCACTCACATGGAAGACCTGGGAGGAGTACCAGGCTGCTGGCTTCAGCATGGCCTAGCCCTAGGCTGTTACAGACCTCTAGGAAGTGGGCTTTATGTAGAGAAAACCTTTTTCTGTGTCTTTTGAGTCAATAAAAACTGAAAGAACACTGGTTAAAGTTTTGAAGACCCTTCAAAAAGTTTATGGAAAGAGAATTAAAACATACATTTATTTTGTTACATAAATTTTAGAAATTGTTCTTTTTAAAAAATGTTTCTGTATTTGAGTTAAAAGCTTTGTTGAGGTTTGCATAACCATCACTTTTTTGAAGAAAACATCTATAAGTTATTGTAGAGTTGTATTTTTAAAAATGTATTTACTTGAAAGACAGTGTTAGAGCTTTTATTTACTGGTTCACTCCCCAAATGGCCATGGTGACCAGTGCTGGGGCCAAGCTGAAAGCCACGAGCCCAGAACTCCATCCAGGCTTCCCATGTAGGTGGCAGGGGTCCTGGCACTTGGGCCGCCTTTTGTTTTTCCCAAAAAGTGTTTCATGGAGCTGGCTTAGGAGGCCAGCAGCTGGGACTCAGACCAGTACTGTGACATGGGAAGCTCCATTGCCTGCAGCCACTAACCTGTGGCACCCTGAGGCCATCCACAAAGAGCTGTGCTTTTGTTAGAGGTGAAATACGGAGATTTTCTGGGTTCACTGTACCTGTGTTGAAGGAGGTTCAGTGGTTTGTGGCCTGTGACTGCTTCCTACCTGGAGCAATTGTAGCTGCCATTTATGGAAGGTTTCCCTGTGCCAGGAACCTGATGTAATCGTGCATAGACTCGGAAAACAAGTTCTTGTTGTGAAACTTTCATTTTTCAGCCAAGTCTATGAGTTAAGATCACTAGAGGGGTTGTAAAGCAGAGTCCCTGGAACATAAGCGGACCTTTTATCTTGAACTTAACAGCCTGCATCAGGCTGGACTTGAGTAGCACTGCCTTGGGCCTAGTGTTTGCAAGGGTTTCAGAGGAGGAAGTCTGCACACCCTCACTATTCATTCTGGGGCTTGTTCAATAGCTCTCCCTGCTGAAAAGTTCCTTACCACAAATTCTGGCCCTCCCACCTCAGAGGCCGTGTAGGAAGCATGATTATCTTCTTCGAGTTGGGCTTACGAAGTATATGACATCTGTTCTCTTTGAGTACTCTTTGAACATGTGTGCACTTTTGCTTGTTAAGTGTGTTGTCCTGGATGCTGTCCTGGTGATTCCAGGCAACAGGTAAAAGATGCGTGCCCTCACAGAGGGGTCTGTAGAACAGAAACAAGGAGATGGCTCTTTTTCCCCAAGTTCTCTGAGCTCCATCTTGGCATGACCACGTAGACTGTGTCTTGCTAATGAGCTTGGGGTAGTCTTTACCAACCCTGCAGAACTGTTAGAGGAACCTAATTGAGGACCCAAAGAGGGAGACACTTGACCTTGGTGCTGTGAGGTCCTGTATTGTCACACGTTTCTTATTTACTTTGTAAGCTATTAAATGCTAAGTTACAATGTGCAAAAATTTAAACAGCAGTGTTTAGAATTAGCTGCCACCTGAGATGCTGGCCTACCATATGGATGCCAGTTTGTGTCCCGGCTGCTCCGCTTCTGATCCAGCTGCCTGCTGGTGGCCTAGGAAAGCAGCAGAGGATGGCCCGAGTGCTTGGGCCTCTGAACCCTTGTGGGAGACCCAAAAGAAGCTCCTGGCTTTGGCCTGGCCCAACCCTGGTTCTTGTGGCCATCTGGGAAATGAACCAACTGATGGAAAATTGATCTCTTTGTCCTTTCAAAATTTGTGAATTTTTTTTAACAATTTATTTTATTTTTATTGGAAAGGTGGATATACAGAGAGGAGAGACAGAGAGGAAGATCTTCCGTCCGATGATTCACTCCCCAAGTGAGCGCAACGGCCGATACTATGCCGATCCGAAGCCAGGAGCCTCTTCTGGGTCTCCCACATGGGTGCAGGGTCCCAAAGCTTTGGGCCGTCCTTGACTGCTTTCCCAGGCCACAAGCGGGGAGCTTGATGGGAAGAGGGGCCGCCGGGATTAGAACCGGTGCCCATATGGGGTCCCGGGCGTGCAAGGCGAGGACCTTAACCACTGCACCACCGTACCGGGCCCTAAAATTTGTGAATTTTTAAAAGACATCTTTATTTCTAAATTATTGAACATGACCACAACTCTTACTGCAATTAGAACAGCAGATATGCCACATTCCCTGACTTAGCAAGGTGGTATACAACTGTGGTGATTAATGTGGCACAAGATTTAATTATTCTTGTGAAAGATCTGATTGGGAGCTGAAGTACCTGATTTATAAATCCATGCCAATGAGCTGACCACCTCTTGAATCTGTCACCAGCAGTAAGTAGTTTGATTTCTTGCATTTTTCATAAGGAAAATATGTTGTAATTGCAGCTTGCCCAAGAGCAGAATTTAGAATTTACCATTGTATGAGCTAGGAATATGAGGTGCTTTGTGATGTTTCATTGATTTTTAGTTTTACAGGGTAGAAACTTAACACCAACAGGCAGTAGTTTTTTGTTTGTTTCTTTATTTTTTAGTTTTTGAAAACTTAAGTTTCAAAAAAAACTTAGGGAGGTGGTGGTTATGTAATTTTAGTTTTCCTGAGTTTTAGAATAGAGAAGGATTTCAATGAGACACCTTCGGGTGGAGTGGATATTTGCCCTATAGGTGAAGGAGTGCCATTTGGGACCTGCAGCAGCCCACAGTGGAGTCTCTGCGTTTGAGTCCTGGTTGTTCACCTGATTCCTCATTGCACCTGGGCAAGCAGCGGATGATGGCACAAGCTACCCAGATGGGAGACCTGGGGGAACCAACCAGCGGCAGGGAGCTCTCTTCAGTCCCTTGGACCTAGTGGTGGTTTTGTGAGCTGCCTCCTGCTCTGGGAGCTTGTAAGGATGGAGCCTCTGGCTTGTCAGTGTCTGTGATTGGGCTAGTGGAGTCGGCTTTCTGAGCTCCTTTCTGTTATCAGTGCCCTCAGAGGTTCAGGTAATTCTGAAATAAAATGACCAAGAAATATGCTGACAGCAGTTGTCAAGAGAACCTTTGTCACCCTTCATCTGTCTTAGCATAGAAGGAATGCTTTTCTTGGTCCCAACTCCTCATTGCAAAATAATCTCAGTAAACTCATTGCGAAATCTCAGATTCTGGGATGGGGGCTGGGTGGGGTGGGGGGGGTGTGTGTGTTGGCACACACACCCTTAACTGAGGAAGCTGGTGCCACTCTGCAACAGCTTAGGTTATGTGTGAGGCTGTGTCAGTTGCCTGCCATTTGGGCTCAGCTGGAACTGCAGGGTGTGCGTTTCACAGATGCTGGCAAACTCAAGTGCTGTGTCTTGTGTGGGCTTTACCCAAGGGGAGCCTTGTCTTTGATTCAGCACTCTTGCTAGCATCAATTTCCTGCTCACACTGCGCCCCCCAGTTCCTGTAGATCAGTGTTGTGGGGAGGCTCCGAGCTTGGAGATATATCTCTCCTGGTGTCTAGGAGACACCTGGTATCCAGAAAGTGGGACTTGGGGGTTACTGTGTTTCAGCAGCAGACCCTGTCCCCAGAGAAGCTGAGTAGATCATTACAGTTGCAGGGGAGCAGAGGAATGATCTCTTTCCCACCCTTGGAACATTAGAATAGTGTTTCAGGGTACCAAAGCAATCCCCTGATGTTCAGTCTTTGACTCCAGCAGTTTGAGAAGTGAAACTCAAGGTGGGTATTTGACATGGTGGGTAAGTCCCAGCCTGAGATGTTTGCAACCCGTGTGGAGGCCAGGGGTCTGAGACCTGATTCCAGCTTCCTGTTAATGCAGCCCCTGGGAGGCAGGGGTGATTGCTAAGCTGGTTGGATGCCTGCTACCCATGTGGGAGACCCTGAAGAAGCTCCAGGCTCCTAACTTCAATCTGACTTGGGCCAGGCTCTTGCAGTCATTGGGAGAATGAACCAGTGAAGGGGAGACCTGTTTCTTTTTTAAACATTTTTTTTCAATAGAAGCTTTTCTGTATTACACTTCTGCTAACACCAAGACTTTTTCTTCAACAGTATAATTCACATCACGTTGTGTTGAAGTTTATCCTTATATTATACAAGATGAAGCACATTTAAAGCTGTGCTGTTAGTGATGGAATACATGTTCAAGCCTCGGTCTGCTTGACACCAGGGACCACCTGTGTCCTATAGTAATGGGGACCTTGGATTGCATTTGAATCATGGTCTCTGAAAGAGAGACCGCCCGTAAGAATGGCTGGCTGACTGTGCTGCTAGTTGGCTTCTGGTATGGAGGAACGGAGCCCTTAGTGTGCTGTTGCCAGGAAGGACTTTGGGTGGGTCACGGTGTGCCTGGAGTTCTTCACCCTTGGAATGTCAGAGCAGCCTGCTGCCCCTGGACTGCAAAGCCTGGGCCACACTGGCTCTTTGGAGCTATTTTTGCTGTGGGTGGGTGGGTGGTAAGGAGATACCAACCAACAATAAGGCAAAACCCAAAATGAGCCCAGGTGTGGCAAGGAAGAGAAGGCTGACTTAACCATCTGCAGGCAAACCAGCAGCACGTCCAAAGCAGGCTCCTGAGGGCTGACCTGGAAGAAATCATGAATGCTGGCATGTGTGTCTGCTAATGACTTGAATCCCTTTTAAGGATTTGTTTGAAAGATAGAGACAAAGCATCTCTCTTCTGTTTCACTCCCTAGATGGCCACAACAGCCAGCGCTGGGCCAGGCTGAAGCCAGGAGCTTCATGGTGGTCACCCCTGTGGGTGGTAGGGACATGTACACTTGACACTTCAGAAGGGAGCTGGGTCAGAAGCGGAGCAGCGGGAACACGCACCAGCATGGGACCCCGGTGTCACAGATGTGTCACACACAGCTCTGCTGTGATGCTGACAATGAACCTCAGTGGGGCAGAGGCCATCCCTTGTGTGTTGAGCACCTTGCAGTGAAGGGAGGGAGGTTTCCGTGGGATAGTTGCAGGTGGAGCTGTGGGCTTCAGTTCTGATTCAATACACAACCTTCATAGCCTCTTGTTGCCCATCTGTGAGGACTCCATCTGGTCTACCTTGCAGGATCCTTGATGTGGAGAAGTAGTTACTACTGAATGCCTTAGAAAGTGTATTCTTTAATGTTTAATTTTCACATGCTGGAAACTGCTGTGGGCGCAGGGGAGATATGAGGGGCAGCTCTGGGTGTGGGGATTGAATCCACAGTCTACACTGAGTGTGATGTGCTATGAGCGGTGCCCACGGGGGCTCTGATGAAAGGTATTTCACTTGTTCAAATCAGGGAAGACTTCCTGTAGGAGGCAGCACGTGGACTTTGAAGGGACAGGGTAACTGGAAGAGAATAGGTGAGTGGGAATGGTGTATATTTAGCATTGCACAGTGGTTGGAATGGCTGCAGCCTAGAGGGGAGCAAGTGGTAATCCATGAGGTGGCAGAGGCTGGTGGGAGCCAGGCCCAGGATCAGGAACAGCTTGGGAGGCCCCCTTCTGTGTTTGGATTTTTAGGTAAAGCAATACGGAGCCGTGTGTGTGTGTTTAAAAAATGATGTGTCAAAGTGGGGAAGTGTGAGATCTTCCATCCCGAGAGGTTGCACTGGCCGGGGCTGAACCACGCCACCTCCAGGAGCTTCATCCAGGTATCCCGCATGGCCTGGGGGTGGGGTTCAGGGGTGTCCAGGCAGTTAGACCCTCCTTCACTGTTTTCCCAGGTTGTTCGCAAGCAGCTGGCTGGAAAGTGGAATGGCTGGGACATAAACTGACACCCACATAGGGAATGGTGGTGTTTCAACAGCTTTACCTGCTGTGCCACAGTGCTGGCACTATAAGTGGATATCGGGTCTGGTCTCAGGGTTAGAACACTGGGTCTGGGAGCATGGGGCAGAGTCTGGTCTGGTGTGCAGATGGTGCTGGTCTCAGCCTGGTGCAGGGCAGTTGTGCAGTGACGCAGGTTGAGTGATCAGTGGACTGCTTTCACTTTGAGGGTGGGTCAGCGCACTGGAGGGACTGCTGGGCCAGGCCACACTGAGGTGTCGCCACAGTTCAGGTGTCTTGGTGAGGTCAGTGGCAATGATGAGAGGAGATCCTGACTTTGGGAGTTTCCAGGAGCAGCTGCGGACTCTGAGGACATGGACAATATGGGGAGAGCAGAGAGGGACTACCAGGGCCATCTGACCTGGGCAGTGACGGAAGGAACCAATGAGAGGAGGAAGGAAAGCCTGGCCAGTGTTTCTTTTCAAAAAGATTTATTTATTTGAAAGACAGTCTTTTAGAGAGATCTTTCATCTGCTGGTTCACCCTACAAATAGCTCCAACAACTTGAGCCTGCTTGAGTCTACGGCTGTTCCCCTACTACTCTAAGGAGTTGGGGCCAAGATCTCCAAGACTCTTTTGGTACAAATGTTTTGTGATGCCTGCTTGGCCCATAGTCCTGCACGAGGTTAGACTGACTGCAGGAAGGTTGAAGGAAGGTTGAAATCAATCAGCACTATAAACTTTGTCCTCAATAAATCAATTAAACTGAACTTCTAGCTTAAATTACCTCTTCTATCTCTTAGGGAAGTTCTATAGTAATTTGTCTACGGGCAAGTGCTGCTCTTTGAATATACAAACTAACACATTTACAAATCGTCAGGTGTTTTCAAGTATACCAGAGTTTGGTACTGTCACAGGCACTAGCGAATACCTGAGATTTAACAAGTGTGCTGATTTAATTGGGATGATTTCTGAGTTTTAAGCCCAAGTTAGTGGAAAATCACACCCTTTCTCCCATATGCTTTTGTAACCCTCTCATAACATCTTCCCAGTCCCTCCCTGCATCCCACCCCTACTCCTTGTTTCCAGAAATCTCTTGTGACATAACCATTGATGAGTTCAATTTTAGCCTCTTTTGACTTTGGGTTAAGACTGGTTGAATAATCTTTCTAGAGATTTTGTGGCTGGTTGAATGCTTTTGGACCCAATGGGAAAATACACATTTTATGATGAGTGAAAATGCATTTTCAAACCTCTTCTGTTCAGCGTTGTTTATTTAAGCACCTCTGAGGCACAGACCTTGAAAGTAGGTTGCCTTGCAGTCTGTTGGATATGTGGTGGGGAGTAGCAACCCCAGCTTTTCTCTGTTGAAAGACACTAGGATTCCAGGCAGAAACTTTCTCTGGAAGGAGGTGCTGGATGGGTTAGGTTGAAGCAGGTGATCCATTAGAGAAGTACCTGCGGAGCCTGTGTGTGGCAGAGTGATTTGAAGGCTTGTGGGCATCTGTCCTGCTGCCAGGACTTGGTGCCTGGGGCTGGACCTTACGTGGACATGTAATGTGAACTGCAGGTGGGCATGGTCTTCGTGCTCCACAGGAGCGTGTGTGTAGAGCAGTATGGACAGCAGCAGGAGGAGGGAGATATCTGCACTTGCAATGCATACCTTGTCAGTCTTTGATGCCAGCAGAAGAGAAGGGCAGAATGTTGTGCTGGTGTTTTGAACATCTGGTTACTCCACCTCCTTTAAAATAAGGTTTATTTATTTATTTGAAAGGTAAGGTTAGATCTTATATCTGCTGGTTCACTACCCAAATGGCTGCAAAGACTAGAGGTGATCTGGTGTAAAATCAGAAGCCAGGAGCTTCTTCTGGGGCTCAAGTACTTGGACCATACTCCACTCCTTTCCCAGATGCACTAGCAGGGAGCTGGATTGGAAGTGGAGCAGCTGGGACATGTACTGGCACCCAAATGGGATACTAGTGCTGTTGGTGGAAGTTTAATGTGTTAAGCCACAGTGCTGGCCTCTCTTGCTTTCTGGAGCTGTAGAAGTCTCATCTGTGGTCCTTGGAATCCAGTCAAGCTCTCCTAGCAGGGATGTTGGTGTGTCCTAAGCAGCAGCTTAGGTTATCTTGATTCTGTGGTGAGTGTTGTGTCCTCAGCTTACTTTGTGGCCACCTGCCTGGAGCTCATCTTCATGACATCTGAGTTCTCATTGTACCTGAGCTCCTTCTAGGCTCAGGAACCAGAGCCTTTGGGTGCTTTTGGAGGGACTGATGGTGGTCAGCCTGGAGGAGTGGAGGCTTCCAGAAGTTGTTCATTGAATGAGTGTCCACTGTGTGCTCAACCTGAGCAAGATGACCATAGTAGGAGCAGTGGAAACAATGAACACACCTTGCACATTACTGGAGGGATCAGAGCAGGCCCGCGGGAACCAGCACACGACTGCCCATGAATTGTGTTGCATGCCAAATTCTGATTTTCCTTCACACCCTTTCCAGGGATGCATCAGAGGAAGCTCTCGCTACTAATGCTGTTGAGCTGCTGCTTCTCTTCCAGAAGCCTGGCTTCCCCTCTATCTACCAGCAAACTTTTCTGCATGGCTGCTGATGTTAACATTTTCTGTTTTTCTCACTCCTAGCCTTCGCTTGAATCCTTAGGCCCACACAGAGCAGCTGCCCTGACCCCGCCCGCCCCCTCGTTATGATTGTTGTCAGCCAGATCCTACTGCTGCTGATTCCAGCCATCAGGCCATGCTTGTGGAAGCCGTGGGCTCCTGGTCCTGGTGGAACGTGGCTCTTGCGAACTGACAGTTGGCTGCTGATTCCCTACCTGCTGGCTGCTCCTGCCTGCCAGAGTTAGGAAGGATGACTCCTGGATTCTATGTAACAGGTAACCTGACTTCCCCATGGCCTCTACAGACTAAGTACGTCTGTCTGGCCCCTTTTGCAATTCATTTCATAGGCCCTTTA